TGGTGCGATCTATGTTGTGCAATCTACGTGGTACGTGGTGCAATACATGTGGCGCGAGCCATGTTGTGCAATCTATGTGGTGCAATCTGCGTGGTGCAATGGCAGACTATTTAGTGCACTCTATGTGGTGCAAACTATGCGGTGTAGTCTATGCGGTGCAATCTATGCGAGGCGGCGACGGGCGGCGAAGAGGCGGCGACGGGGCGGCGTCGGCGGCAACATAGCCGCCAGACCGACAGACAGACAGGCCCAGACGACGGGCGGCGACGAGGCGGCGACGGGGCGGCGACGGCGGCCACATAACCGCCAGACCGACAGACAGACAGGCCCAGACGACGGGCGGTGACGAGGCGGTGACGAGGCGGCGTCGGCGGCAACGTAGCCGCCAGACCTGCCGTCAGGTCCAGACGACGGGCGGCGACGAGGCGGAGACGGGGCGGCGACGGCGGCTACATAGCCGCCAGACGGGCAGTCAGGCCCAGAGAAAAGAAGTAATAACCCCTAAGAGCAAGCACTATTTGGGGTAAAACATAAACCACACACCGCCAAAACCCGAAATATAGAAATGTAGCACCGATGAAATGATAAATTTTGGAAATCCAGCACGGCCAAAACCCGAAACTCTTGAAGTAGGCACCGCATCCGAACACCAGAAATGCAAGAACGTCGAACTTCGAGAAAACGAATTGAACAAACCTGAGTCTGATCTGTCTGACGTACTATTCGTTCGATTCGATGATCACTCTCATCACCATCCTCTTCCTCGTCCTCCTCCTCATCATCACCATCATCAACATCAACAACATCATCATCATCATCATGACCCTCCTCCTCACGATCATCATCATCATCCTCCTCCTCATCCTGATCCTCCTCCTCCTCCTCCTCATCATCATCATCATCGTCATCATCATCATCGCCATCCGCATCCGCGCTCCCCAAGCCCCATTCATCATCCTTCACTCATCACTCCTTATCATTCCTCCTCGCTCCTCCCCCTCCTTCTCCTCAGCTCCCCCCCATCTATTATCCATGATCCTCTCCTCCTCGCCCTCCTCCTCCTCCTCCTCCTCATCATCATCATCATCATCATCATCAGCATCAGCATCAGCATCAGCATCATCATCATCATCATCAGTATCATCATCATCATTCTCCTCATCACCATGATCATCAGCATCATCATTATCAGCATAATCATCAGCATCAGCATCAGCATCAGCATCAGCATCATCATCATCAGCAGCATCATCATCAGAATTAGCATCATCACATCCTCCACCTCCTCCACCTCCTCCACCTCCTCCTCATCATCCTCGTCATCATCATCATCATCATCATCAGCATCTTCTTCTTCATCATCATCGGCATCACTATCATAGTCATTCATCGACGTTATCAACATCCTCATCATCAGCATCTTCATCATCATCATCATCACCATCATCATCCTCATCATCATCATCATCATCATCCTCATCATCATCAGCATCATCAGCATCGTCATCTTCATTATCGTCATCATCGCCAGCAGCAGCGACATCATCCTCCTCCTCCCCCTCCTCCTCCTCCTCCTCCTCATCCTCCTCCTCATCCTCCTACTCCTCTTCCTCATCCTCCTCCTTCGCATCCGCATCATCATCGGCGCAGCAGCAGCATCATCATCCTTCCTCCTCCCTCGTCCTACTCCTCCTCCTCCTCCTCCTCTTCATCCTTCTCTTCCTCATCATCATCTGCATCGTCATCCTCTTCATCAGAGTCAGGATCATCATCAACAACAGCATCATCATCATCATCGTCGTCATCATCATCAGCATCATCAGCAGCATCAGTATCAAAATCAGTATCATCACCATCATCATCATCAGCATCATCATCATCATCTTCATCATCATCGCCATCGTCCTCATCATGAACAGCATCGTCATCATCACCATCATCATCAGCATCATCGTGTTCCTCCTCCTCACCATCAAAAGCATCATCATCATCATCAGCATCACCATCGTCATCATCACCAGCATCAACATCATCAGCGTCATCACCATCATCAACATCCTCCACATCACCATCAGCATCATCATCATCATCGGCATCACCAGCAGCATCATCATCAGCATCATCAGCATCAGCATGAGCAGCAGCGTCGGCATCATGATCATCATCATCCTCATCAGCTGCATCATCATCGTCGTCATCATCCTCATCATCAACATCCTCATCATCAACATCCTCATCAGCATGCTCCTCATCACCATCATCAGCAGCAGCATCATGATCAACATCATCAACGTCTTCGTCAGCAGCATCACCATCACCATCATCAACATCATGATCAACCTCATCAGCGTGATCATCAACATCATCATCATCGTCATCAGAATCCTCTTCATCATTATCACCGTCATCATCATCCTCATCATCATCATTAGCATTATCATTATCAGCATCATCATCATCTGCATCAGAATCATAAACTCCATCAACATCATAAAGATCCTCATCAGCATCACCATCATCAATATCAGCATCAGCATCAACATCATCAACATCAGCATCATCATCAGCAGCATTATCATCATCACCAGCATCATCATCATCATGAACATCATCCGCATCACCAGCATCATCATCAGCGTCATCATCAGCATCCTCAGTATGCTGCTCCTCCTCCTCCTCATCACCATCATCACCATCAACATACTCAACATCCTCATCAGAAACACTATCATCACCAGCATCAGCATCATCAACCTCAACAGCGTAAGCATCAGAATTGTCATCATCCTCATCATCAGCATCATCGGCATCGTCATCATCATCACCACCATAATCATCATCATCATCATCGACCTTCTCCTCCCCCTCCTCATCATCAGAATCAGCATCATCATCAACATCATCAACATCACCAACATCCACATCATCATCATCATCATCAGCATCATCATCATCATCATCATCGTCGTCATCATCATCATCATCATCATCATCATCACTAGCGTGAGCATCATCACCGTCATCATCATCATCATCACCATCATCATCATCATCATCATCAGCAGCATCATCATCATCATCACCATCCTCATCATCATCATCATCATTATCAACATCATCATCAACATCATCACCATCATCACCAACAGCACCAGCATGCGCATCAGCATCATCATCATCATCATCATCATCATCATCAATATCACCATCATCATCAACATCATCATCAGCAACATCATCAGCATGAGCACTACCATCATTATCATCACAATCCTCATCCTCATCCTCATCGTCATCATCATCATCATCATCATCATCATGATCAACATCATCATCATCATTATCATCATCATCGCCATCATCATCCTCATCATCGTAATCATGTCAGTCCTTCTCCTCCTCATCATCATCAGAATCATCACCATCATCATCAACATCATGAACATCATCAGCATCCTCGTCAGCATCATCACCATCATCATCAGCATAATCATCAGCATAAGCATCATCATCATCATCCTCATCAGCATCATCATCACCATCTTCATCAGCATAATCAACATCATCAACATCACCATCACCACCATCATCATCACCATCATCATCGTCATCATCCTCGTCATCATCACCATCATCAGAATCATCATCATCACCACCATCCACATCGTCATCAACATCATCATCACCATCATCACCATCATCCCCATCGTCATCATCAGAATCATCATCACCATCGTCACCATCATCATCAGCATCATCATCCTCATCATCACCATGATCATCACCATCATCATCAACATCATCAGCATGAGCATCAGCATCATCATTACTACCATCACCACCATCGTCATCATTATCATCATCGTCATCATCATCAGCATCGTCAACATGAGCATCAGCATCATCATCATCACCATTATCACCATCATCATCCTCATCGTCATCATCACAATCATCATCATCATCATCATCATCAACAACATCAGAATCATCATCCTCTGCATTCCCCTCGCCGCGGAAGACATCTGGCTCGTGCGGCACCTGCTGAAGGGGCCCAGAATGGGGAGAGCGTGACTGCGGCTCCGCCGGCTCTCTCTCTCTCTCTCGCTCTCTCTCTCTGACGCGGCACGTCGACTGACCGGAAGGTTCAAAGGAAGCCCTCGAGGAGGAGGAGGAGGAGGAGGAGGAGGAGGAGGAGGAGCAGGAGGAGGAGCAGCAGGAGGAGGGAGGGGGAGGAGGGCGGGAGAGGTAGGAGGAGGAGGAGGCGGAGGAGGAGGAGGAGGATGATGTAGGAGGAGGATTAGGAGGTGAGGAGGCGGAAGCTGAGGGGATGAGGGAGGAGGAGGAGGAGGAGGAGGAGGAGGAGGCGGAGGAGGAGGAGGAGGAGAGGAGGATGGGGGAGGAGAGGAGGAGGGGAGGAGGAGGAGGAGGAGGAGAAGGTAGGAGGTAGAAGAGGAGGAATGCAGCAGCAGGAGAGCAGCATTAGGAGGGGGGGGGAGGGGGGGGGGGAGGGCGTTTTTTTGCCTGCCGCTTGCGGGGGGGTCGATCTAATAACGCGGACGCCTCCGTCTGCCATCAGACTCGCACCCTGGCGGTCCGCCATGGGCGCTGCCGATGCCGACGCGGATCGACCACGTGTATGTCCATCAAACCAGTACCGCCATAAAGGGGAGTGGAGGAGGATGAGGAGGAGGCCAGGAGGAGGAGGAGGAGGAGGAGGATGGGGAAGGGGCGGGGGTGGAGGGGGATGGCGGGGGGCGGGAGGGGGAGGGGAGGGAGGAGGAGGAGGGATGAGGCGGAGGAGGAGGAAGGAGGAAGGAGGCGGAGGAATGGATGATGATGGGGGAGGGAATGAGGAGGAGGAGGAGGAGGGGGAGAGGGATAGTAGAGAGGGCGGAAGGGTGGAGGGAACAGGAAGGGAAAGGTCCAGAGGGATTAGTAACTCTAAGAGTGCGAGAAATGGTGATACCTGCAGATATGAGAGGTGACGTTCAAGTTCTAGCTCCTTCATGGTAACGTTACTGCCATCGTCGAATCGCATGCCGCTGCCGAGCATCGAAAGGGGGAGGAGGTGGAGACGGGGGTGAAGGTGCAACGGGATAAGGAGCAGCAGCAGCAGAAGCAGCATGAGCGGCAGCAGCAGCTGCTCGGCGGTGCCGCCAGCACCGCGTCCGCGAGCGCCGCTGCGGCCGCCGTGGCTGCGGCCGCTGCCCGCGCCACGGAAAGCCGCCCCGCGCCGGCAGCCACAAGTGCCCTCGGGAACCCAGCAACCCGCTACAGCGGGGCCTTCTGTATGTCCACCCAGATGTACTCGAGCTCGGCCCCGGGAGCGTCGCGACCAGGGTGCGGCCTCAGCTCGGTGATCACCTGAGAGGCCAGGCCCTCCGACAGCAGCCACGTCGAGACGTCTGCGCGGAGCGCCGGGCTCCACACCACGAAGTGGGGCTCCTGCCCAGCACTGCCTGCCGGCGTCTCCGCCGCGTCAAAGGACCACTGGTGCAGCCCGAGCTGGAACTGCCCCGCCACGCCCTCGTTGCGCTCGTGCCGCAGCAGCAGCCAGCCTCCGGGGCGCACCACCGACAGCAGCTGCCTGATGCCTAGCAGCGGGTCCACTGCGTGGTCCAGGGCGTTCCGGATGTGGGCCACGTCGAAGTGGTCGCGCGGGAAGCAGCGCGGGAGCTCCTCGACGGCGCAGTGCAGGGGCGTGGCACGGGGCGCCTGGCCCAGAGAGTCGAAGAGCTGCATGTAGAAGCGCGCCAGGCCGTCGGCCGCCACCACGGGCACCTGGCCCAGCGCCCTGGCGCCAACGGACTCCGCCGCCCCCTCGCAGCGGAGAGGCCCAGGCGCCAACGGCCCGGAGCCCGCGTTCAGGATCCTGGGAGGGCCGAAGCCGCCGCGGCTGATCGCCTGCGCGCCAGCCACTCGTGCACAGATGGCATCCACCCCGTCCCACGTCCAGCGTACGTCGCCGCTGTCGAGCCACTGCCGCACCGCAGTCGCGTCCTCCTCGGACCGATCCGTGCCGCTCGGGTCCAGGAGGATGTGCCAGAAGCCAACCTCGCTGTTGATGCGGCGCGCCCAGCGTATCTGCGACCGCCGCAGCAGCCTCCACACCTCGGAGCAGGGCGAGCTGACGCAAGGCCAGCTTTAGATGGGTCCCCGGACCACTCCCAGGGCCCAAGCGCACCAGTTTTCCCAGCTGCGTCCGGTCGTGGCGACGAGGGGTCCCCCCGAAAGCCAGCTGCCGCCGGCTCCGTTCGCCCTCCTCTGGGCACACCGGCCCCTCGTCTCGCCACTGCGGCTGCACGCTGGCGACGGCAGGCGCGACTGCAGCCACCGCCGGAGCGTGCCGGCGCGACCAGCGGAACCTCTTGGAAGCCCTGAATTTAGGTCGGGCGGAGTTTGGAGGGTATATATTAGAAATAATAACACAACGCTCAAAAATACTCAAACAAACACGAAAATTCGTCACCAACTATTTTCAACTATTCTTGAATATTCCTCCTGTAGAAGAACATGCCCGACTTAATCCGAAATGGATACGGAAAACATGAGCACGATACCCAGCACCAAACGTTGTCCGGAAGCGACAGCGGCCGCTGTCGGGCAGTCGACGCTTAGCTCCACACGGACCACGTCCGCGGCGACACAGACAGCGAGTCCTGCCCAACATGGGCAGGCACTGCTGTCGGCCTCCGTCACCACTCTTTCCCTACAGCCAACCCGTCTTGTAAGGATGCGCGACGAGGATGCCAGGGCCTCGGGCGCCCATTTCGAAGCTTCTCCAGCGGGGCGCGGCCAACGAGAGTGGCTCGGGCTGGACCGAGGAGGCACGGATGCGAGGGTTCCCTTGGGAAGGTTGCCCTGGCCATCGCTGGGACGTCCATTTCCTATGTTTTCTTCGGTTTCGTGCGTGGTTTTTGTCGCGACATGATCAAGGA